TCGGCTCGCCCGCTGTCCAGTTTCGTGACCGCCGGACTTTGACAGAGACTCGAGGGAGTGGTCTGGCCCCAGGGATATCTTCGTGCTGGGCTCGTGAGACGCTCCCTGAGCCCCCCCCCACGTGCGATTGCACCGCTACCAGTAGCGCACTCGTGTTCCGTGTGTTGCCTTGCTTCTCTCACGGGTTTCACGCGAGCAGGCACGTGGATCAGCCGAGCACCGCCGCCGCCGCCGCCTCCTCCTCCTCCACCTCCTCCTCCTCCTCCTCCTCATCATCATCAGCATCATCATCCCCTCCTCCTCCTCCTCCTCCTCCTCCTCCTCATCCTCATCCTCATCCTCATCCTCATCCTCATCATCCTCATCCTCATCATCATCATCATCATCATCATCAGCAGCAGCATCAGCATCAGCATCAGCATCATCATCATCAGCATCATCATCAGCATCATCATCATCAACAGCATCCTCCTCCTCCTCTTCCCCATGATCATCATCATCATCAGCAGCATCATCATCATCAGCATCATCATCATCTTCATCCTCATCTTCATCCTCATCATCCCCCCTCCCTCCTCCTCCTCCTCCTCCTCCTCCTCCTCCTCCTCCTCCTCCTCCTCCCCCTCCTTTGTCGGTGGGACTCCCCAGGAGGAGGGGGAGGTGTGAAGGAGGTGAGGCGCGGCGCGGCGGGTTCAAAACAGACGAGGACTCAAAGCCAAGAAGGTTCTGGAACCAGGGTGATCTGTGCTGTCGGGCTCTTGGGGCACGCAGAAGCACAACGAGTATGTCGGACCTGTCCACTCTCTGGAAACGTAACAGAAAGCCACAATGGGATCATGCAGACTCGTGCTCTGGTGTTTTTGGGAACCGCAGTTCGGCACACCGCACACCCCTCACGCACGTCGTGCATCATGGATCCCCAGGGGCACTCAGCTGGCTCCCAAGACGGCGCAAGGGCGCCTCAATTCGGCGCACGCCTCACGCACTTTGTGCCCCATCGCCCCCGCATGCCCTGAGCTGGCCCTCAGCACGGCTGAGGAGAGCCTCACTTCGGCACACCACTCACGCAACTCGTGCTCCATGGGCCCCGGGAGGGGGGGGGGCTTTGCCTGCCTCTCGATGTGGCATAAGGGTAACATCATTTCGGCACACCCATCACGCACTTCGTGGCCAATGGACCCCCAGGGGCCCTCAGCTGGCCCCGAAGAGGCCCCACGAGAGACCCAGACGTGCCCAGCAAGGCCACGGGAGACTCCAAAAATGGCCTCGCGGAGGCCCGTGGAGAAAGAACAGCTTGCAACGATTTATGCCGCCACTGCGAAACGGCCCCCACGCTTCCCCAAGTGACGCCGAAACGCCCCCCCACCCGTGTGAAGCTGAGGATCCGCTGTGACTCCCGCTCTGCGAGATAAATTCGGCAGGTCCGCTGCTCGAGCGGGAGCGGGAGAAGGGTGGCGCCTTGGCCGTGGTAAGCAGGGAGGGCTGATGATGAGATGGAAGATCTGGTGGGATTGCGTGTGTGAGTGCATGCGACAACCCTAACTACGACCACCAAGAGCGTTCGACTTTTTTTCACACTCAGGGTGGACCCGTAGTTGCTCAAATAGCTGCGGCTTCTGAGAGTAGAAAAGATACTAGATGCAAAGAACCATCAAATACTTGAACAACTGTGGGTCAAGGTGGAGTGGGGAAAAATCTGTACGGAGAGCTACTGGGGGTCGTAGTTGGTGTAAGCTTACAATCGGGATGCGCATGCGCCGAGACCACTAACCCAAATTTGCCCGCCAGCTCGCCCTCACTTTCATTCCGAGCGGCCAACCCTCGACAAAATAAACATCAGATGTTGTTATCGCTCCCCTTCGATGTCGCTTTCTTCCCTACCTAGGCTCTGCTTAGAAGGGTTCTTACTCTCTGAGCTTAAAGGGGCTGGGCAGTGGGCTCCGCCCCGGGCGGTTCCCCCGGCATCCGCCCCGCGGTTCCCCCAGTTACGTCCCCTTAGTTTAGCGTTGCTTATCTCATCTTAGCTTAGCTTGTTTCATCTTAGCTTAGCTTAGCTTCATCTTAGCTCAGGTTTATCTTAGCTTAGCTTACCTTCATCTTAGCTTCGCTGAGCTTTAGCATAGCAGAGCACAGCATAGCACAGCATTGCGTAGCATAGCATAGCGCAGCACATCATATCATAGCATAGCCCAACATAGCGTAGTATAGCGCAGCATATGATTGCATAGCATAGCATAGCATAGCGCAGCACGGCACAGCACAGCATAGCACAGCGCAGCATAGCATAGCATAGCAACAAAGCAAGGGCAAAGCAACAGCAGCGACAGCAAAGCAAAGCACAAGCAACGCAAAGCAGAGCAAAGCAAATCAAAAGCAAAAGCAAAGCAAAGGAAAGGCAAAACAAAAACAACGTGCGACAGATGCCGAGCTAGCCTCGATGGCCGGACCGGAGCCCCCGAAAGCAGTGCCTTCCGTAACCTTCCTAGAGGCTCCATCTCCTATAGGTAGGGTCGCATTGGGATAATTTCGCCCCTTCAATGCCCCCCCCTGCAATCCCGAAGCTGACCGAAAGACGGTTTGGGCCAGCGCGACTCGGAAATTCTAAGACGTGAGCGCCAACAGGCACTTCGCGCGCGACGCGCTTTTTAGGCTAGTCTTGACGACGGTCGTAGGAGCGGCCTCGCGCGTTCGGCTGGCCGGCGATCTGCGCCCCCACAGGCCTCTAAGGTGCGTCTGGGCGCTTCAATTGAGCAGGGGCCGACCGTCTGGGCATTCCTAGAGGCCTACCACGACACGTTATTAGAACCCCAAAACGTTCTAGGAGCGAAGACCATGTTCTTGGAAGAAATGCCCGACGCGTTCAAACAAGACCGTCCCAGCCAGAAATGCTCCGAGACCCTTCCGTGCAGACCACAACCAGTTCTTGGAACATGGTCCAGTGGGCCTATAGACAAGCCGGGACGCTTCGCCACTGCTTGCCTCAAGGCGGCACGCCCCTCATGCACGTCGTGCCCCACGGACCTCCAGAACACCCTCCACAGACGTTAACGGCGCGTGCCTGCAGCCCGGCAAGAGAACCGCCACGAGCGCCAGCAGCTCTCCTCGCTGCCGGGGCCATGCGGCGCGGCCGATCCAGCTGCCTCTGCTGAAGAAGCTCATCTTGGACTTGCGCTTGCGTTGCGAGCGTATCTTTGTCGTCCGTCTCCCCAGCACAACGCTCGTTACCCGGGCCAAAGCCCCCCCCCTCCCCCTCCCCCGGGTAACGTTAGGTAGGGCAGGTCCTCCTTTTAACATCCCAAAAGTACTAGAGCATCGTCCCCAGACCATTGGTATATACTAATCTTGAACACTCCCCCATGTAGAGGGACAGGCCCGACTTCAGGGTGACGCCAACGATCGTACGGGGGGGGGGGATGGCCTGGACCTCCCCTCGTGCTGTGGGGCACGCAGGCGATTGATGCGGCGGTGGCGCGGCGTGCACCCTGACGGGTGCCCGCAGCGGCCGCCGCTACCGTGGCCCTCCCGCCGCGGGCCAGCCCGAACCCTGAGAGGAAAGAGGAACAGAGAGGAAAGAGGAAAGAAGAACAGAGGACGGAAGAGGAAAGAAGAACAGAGGACGGAAGAGGAAAGAGGAATAAAGGAAAGAGAGGCCAAGAGGAACAGAGGCTCAGCGAACCCTCCCCCCCCGGGCCGGGCCCCCGGGTAACGACCCTTACCCAGGAGGGGGGACAAAAAAGCGTTCACATTTTAGCTCGCCAAGAAAGAGGAACAGAAGACGATATGGCATGGAAGCATCATGCCGGTCCCCGCGTCGCCCAGGACTTCGTCTCGGCAGCAGCAGTGCCTTGGAAACCCGGAGGGCCTCTGAGGAGCATCCTGGGGCGTCTTGGGGCCCCTGGGCTTCTTCGGGGCCATCTTTGGTGGACTCTTGGGCTCTCCGAGAACAATTTGAGGCCTCGTGGACTGTCTTGAACGCTTGGGGCCCTCGTAAGGGCCCCTTGAGGGCATTTCAGGGGGCCTCTTGGGGCGTGTTTGGGCCCTGGGTGTCTCACAGGGCCTCTCGGGGCCCTCCTGGAGGCCTCTTGAGGCCTCTTGGAGCTATCTTTAGGTCGGGCGTGTCCCCCTACAGGCGGATGTTGGACGAAAAATATAAAACAGTCGACAAATATTCAAACATAGTAAAACAAAATCGTGCCCAAACTATTTTTTGGCAATTTTTGAATAGTCCTCCTGTAGAGGGACAGGCCCGACTCAAAGCTCTCTTGGAGGCTCGTGGGCTCTCATGGGGGCCTCTCGGTGCCTCATACCGACTCTCTCCAGAAGTTCACCGAAGGCGTGGCGATCGGAAGAACGTTGATGGGCCTGTTTTCCATCACCACCACCATAAGTTAGAGGGGGGAAGGAGGTGGAGGAAGAAGAGGAGGAGGACCCACTCCCCCTCCTACTTATGGTGGTAGCGGCGGAAAACAAGCACACCAAACGTGCTGACATGTTCGGCTCCATGGAGGGCTCATAAGGGGGGCCCGCGTGGGCCATCTCGAGGGCATCTGCGGGTCACCTTCGGCTCCTCCAGCTCCCGGCTTCCAGAGTCAATCGTGGGAGGTTGCCTAGATGGCCAGATGGGCCCTCCCGCGACACACGGGGCTCCCGTCGGCTTCGCCCGACCTTCGCCGAGTTCCGCCGGCAGTCTCGCGTGGCGGTGGGCGGATCTGGAGGGGTGCCTCCCAAGACGTCCAGGAGAACGCGCATAAGGAACCCATCCTGAAAATTCCGGGGGAACACGCAACGGGAACCCGTCCTTCAGGTTGGGAGAGAGAGAGAGAGAGAGAGAGAGAAAAAAAAAAGAAGAAGAAGAAGAAGAAGAAGAAACAAAACAACTAGAAAGAGACAGAGAGAGGTGCGTGTGTACCGCAGGAAGCAAGATAGGGCGATACAGACAGAGAGGCATGGATGCATGGAGGGGGGGAAGCAAGCGAGAGAGAGCGGGATCTGGTGATGACCGGGAAGATGCACGGGACGCTGGTGGTGATCCGGACAGTCGCCCTGACGAGGGTGTATGTTCTCTCACGCCGCGAGCGCTCAGTTTCTCGCAACCGCTCCGACGTGCCAAGCTACGCTCCACTTCCATACATCTCTCTCACCGTCTCGCTCGACTTGGCGCTGCGCGCTCGCACAGGCAGCTCTTGCGAGATCGTGTGGTGTCCCAAAAATGTGGGTTCTCCTGGAGCGGCTCACAGGTGGAAGGTGTCTGGGGCCACCCGCAGCAGGAGCCCCATATAGCCCCATGCAAGCCCCGACCCCGCAAACGCCTGCGGGCTCTGAAGTGAAGAAGACCCGGCGGAGCCACAAGCCCCGACCTTGGCGCAAAGGTGAGCATGACTTGCAAGACAAGAGCGGTAAGGGAAGGGATGCAAGCGAGGCGGCCAAAGCTCGTTCCCGTGTTGTGCATTTCCCTGGAGAGGCCTTTAATGGGCCATCTTGAGGGGCTCAGAAAGGAGGGAGAGAAGGAGCGAAAGAGCCGCGAAGCGAGATGGCGGATTGGCGCAGCATGAGAAAAAGAGAGAGAGAGAGAGAGAGAACGAAATGGCAGAATGAGGGCGGGAGGGGACGAGGGGAAGAGTGACGAGCAGGGAGAGGGAATGAGGGCGCAACAGAGAAAGGGGGGAGATCGAAGGCAGAGCAAGAGGAAAGGAGCTCAGAGAGGGAAGGAGGGTGGGCACAAGGGAACAGGGAGGAGGAGGATGAGGAGATGGAGGAAGCAGGAAGGGAAGAGAAAAGAGGAACAGAAGGAAAGAGAGGAGGGAAGCCTAATGCCGACTCCCGCTTTGTCAGTTTCCAGAACAAGACAATGGAGCGGACCAGGAGGAATGCCGAGGCAGGAGTGAGACGGATGGAAGAATACAAGAAAACAAAGGAAGGCCTCTCGTGAGGACATCTTGGGAACCTCCTGGGGCGATTTGGGATCCTTCCTGGGGGGCATCTCGGTGGCTCTCTTGGAAGGTTCCCAAGAACTCCTGGGGGCATGTTGGGGCCTCGTGGGCCGTCTTGGGCTCCATGGGTCTTCCTGAAAGCCTTGTGGGGGCCTCTTGAGGCGTGTTCGGGCCCTTCTTGAGGTTCCCCAAGTGCACCTCAAAGCGCTCCAGTGGGTCTCCTGGAGCCTCGTGGAGCCATCGAGGAGCGATGTCATGGCCTCTTGTTCCCAACCATCCTGTGGTTTTGAGCCCTCGCTTTGAAGAAACAGCGCCCCGCGTCCCACCTCACCTTCCTCCTCACCCTCCTCCTCCTCCTCCTCCTCCTCCTCCTCCTCCTCCTCCTCCTATCCCCGCCCCTGCCCCCCCGCAGGTCTCTGCTCTGGTCACACGCTTCGTGGCCCCATAGGGAGCTCCACCCGAGGCCCCAGAGACCCCGTCGACGTGTGGGCGTCACGCCCGTTTCGGCACACACCCACGTTGCATGGCCCCATATGGAGCTCCACCAATGGCCCAAGCGGCACCGTTTGCATGTGGGCGTCACGCCCGTTTCGGTACACCCCTGACACGCTTCGTAACTTCATATGGGAGCTTCACAGAAGGCCCTGGGAGCACAGTCTACATGTTTGCGTCACGCCCGCTTCGGCACACACCTCACACGCGCCTTGGCCCCAGAAAGAGCCCCACCGAAGGTCCCAGAAACACCGTCCACATGTGGGCGTCACGCCCGTTTCGGTAGACCCCTTACACGCTTCGTGTACCCACAGGGAGCTCCACCTAAGTCCCCAGGGGCACCGTCCACATGTAGTCATCGCACCTGTTTCAGCACGCCCCTCACACGCGTCATGGCCCCATAGGGAGCTCCACCGACGGCCCCAGAATCACCGTCCACATGTGGGCCTGTCGCCCGTTTTGGCACACCCCGCACACGCTTCGCAGCCCCATGAGGAGCTCCACCCAGGCCCCAAAGGCAACGTCCATATGTGAGGGCCGGCTTCGGTTCGTAATCTCCCACAACCGTTTAAGACTTCTGCTGAACGCAGTATGGGGTCTCAATCGGAAGGTGTGAGACTCCTGTGCAGAACCATGTCTTCGTCTTCCCCTCACAATCACCACTATCGGCATCAGCATCATCATCATCATCATCATGATCATCATCATCATCATCATCAGCATCACCATCATCATCAGCAGCATCAGCATCATCATCATCATCATCATCATCAGCATCACCATCATCATTACCATCATCAGCATCATCATAATCATCACCATCAGCATCATCAGCATCAGCATCATCATAATCATCAGCAGCACCACCATCATAGCATCATCACCATCAGCAAGATCAGCATCAGCATTAGTACCAGCATAATCGTCATCATCATCATCATCACCAGCATCATCATCTTCATCATCACCATCATCTTGAGAAGCATCATCATCAGCATCACCAGCATCATCAGCATCAGCATCAGCATCATCATCAGCATCAGCATCAGCATCCGCATCAGCATCATCAGAATCATCATCATCAGCATCATCAGCATCGTGATCATCATCATCAGCATCAG